TTTTTTTCTATTTTAAGAAAGTCGCATTTGGAATTAATTCATAATGAATATTGTTCCAAAAATGTGATCAAATAGTGTGATGAAATAAGGCTAATTAATCATTCACTCTTTTTAGTAGGTCTGTCTTGTTTTTGAGCTGATAGGTCATGTAAGGATGGGAATTTGGCATCCACAGTTTAAATGACCTATATGAAAATACATACATAAGAATTCCACTGGCCCTATGATTGTGGGAAAATGTGGGTCTGGTCATTTGGTTACTTGGAATTTTTATTATTGTATTCACTAATCATAATTACCTGTTTTTTGTTTAACCAGGTTGGCAACGTTGTACAAATCACCGAGTCAGAAGGAGTCAACCATACCCTATCACATCACAGTTAGTATTTCTTTTGGGATGGAGATACAGAGATGGGAGTGAATTGTTAGTAAAGGAATTTTCAGACACAGACAAATCAGAGAATAATGTTTGCTTTCTTCGTGTTGCCCTTCAGCTGCCTCCTGAAGGTAACCAGTAATACTGGCATGCCTCCAGGTGTATGAATATTCTTCACCTTTTCTCTTTAGAAAAATGACCCAGCGTGTTTGTCCTCTTAGAATTAAAACATTTTGATTTCCAGATCAAATTTACAGGCAGCCTGTCCCCATCTGTTCTTGTGCTAGTAGTGCTTATTTTATCTGCCCTTGATGTTAACTTTTGGCCTAAGTGCAATTAGAGAGAACAATCATGTGCTCTCTTGAGCCTTCATTTTGGGAAACTTGAACAAGCTAAGCTGTTTTGTCCCTTGTCAGGTAGCTTATTGTTTCCCAAGTGTCTCTTCTCTGCATCTGTTCCAGTTGAGTTTATCTTTTTAGGACAAGGGTGACCAGCATCATACATTATATTTATTCCAGAGGGTTCACCAGTGCTTTGTGCCATACATATTCCCACATCTCTACTTTAAGTGCATTTTCTGATAGATAACCTGGGTTGTATTTATCTCTTTCATAGCTCCATCCTAGCGGTGACCCTATGACCATACAGATTTTTCTCTTCTGTCACTATCATATGAGGAGCTTCCAGTTTATGGCTGGAGTCCGTATTCATCCCTAGTTAAATCCTGTGATTATTTTCTTTTGTGGAGTACTGAGATACATATTAATGAGAATACATACTGTCTAAGTTGTGTTTAGGTTTAAAAAACCCTACCACTAGACTATTCTATCTTCAAATGTCAGATACATAGGTACATGCCATAACTATTTGCTATGTGTCCTCATGGAAACACGTTGCCATAGTATTTCCTGCAGATCTTAATGCTGCCATAAGATGAAATCTTCAAACTATTGAACAGAAACCAGAGGGGTTTTTTTCACTCATGAATGTATTCACCTGGAGAGAAGAAATACTGCAAATATGTGTATATTCCTAGTTCTGTAAAGACTGGAAAGGTACGTGGGACTACATCCCAAGGTTGTTTGGATCATGTGATGTGAGTGTGCAGCCCTTCCTCTCCAGCTGACAAACAGATGGATTTTATCTTAGACAGTTTAATTGCCTTTTCCTTTCAGTTTTATATGCATTATAAAACAGCTATGTGCTCTTTTGCTGTGTGAATGCACACAATCTTGAAATGCATTTGAGAGTGTATCCTAATCAAAGATTAGTTAAAACTTAAGATTATCCCTGTGTTTTTTCCCTTAATCCTGTTGAGCTGCTTCAGCAGATGGTTTCTGTAAGTAAAAAATGTATTATCTCTGTTTCTTTTATGAAATTCAGGTCTGATGGTAACAGTCTGCTGTTATCATTTCTCATTTCCTTCTCCATATTTAAACTGGAAGATGTAAACACGTGTTCAGTGTTTCCAAATCTGATCTAGCACATCTATGTAGAACCAGCATACGAAAAAAGAGAATTCAAAAAATAATAAATTCCTCAAGGCTAGATTCTCAAAGATGTTTATGCAAATTAGATACTTTGGTACCATTGACAAACTGGCTGTTCAGTGCCTGTAAGCTGATGGAGAAGTGTGTAACTTAGTGACCAAGCTCTAGTTCTTTTTCAGCTCTGTCCTTTCCAGCCTACTGGCAAGTCTGTCACCACTCTGAGCAAGTGTGGAAGCTGTGGTACCTCTCAAATGAAACTGAGTTTCTTTCACAGGCTGATAAGGATTCATTCTTAAATGCAGAGTACAGAAATGTAAATCAATTAATGCACAAGGGAGTAAGTAGATCATCTGATTAACCTAAATTTCCCAGGTAATGTGACCTGATTATTTCATCGTGAAAGATAAGAGACCCAGGACCTATGTTCTGTGTAGGAATTGGCAGTATTTCCCTGAACTGTGGAGGGTCTGCCAGACTAGCACTGAGAATACCGCTCAAGCAATAAAGCCATCTACCTTTGTCAATCTTGATGTAGTCTGTAGACACTAGAAGACCTTAAAATTCAAAGTGACCGTAGACTATCTGAGCTTTGTAGGTCCTTGGTTCCGTTAGCCACGTTCTCAACATTTAAAACCACTAACAAGCTTCACAAATATACACAAAATTATTGTATTTTTGAGGCACTATGCCCAGAAGGTACATGCCTTTCACTGAGTGCAGAATATCCATACTAAGCAGCCTGCTTTATCGTGTTCTGGCCTTTATAACCATTGGAATGCTTTCCCTGGGAGTCTAGCATGCTGGATTAAGTGGATTCTTGGCTACGGATCCACTTTTGTACCTAAGGGAAATGGCAGAGATTAGATGCAAGCAGCAGTGAAACACTAAACTTGAAGATTCCCCATTACGCTATTTAGAATAACACTTGAGTTTCTTATAATAGCAGAGGGACTGCGCAAATCCTGCCCTTGTGGCACCTCTTGCTGTTTGTTCCTTTAAAAACATAGCAGGCTGTGTGAGGTGAGGCATTTAGAAATAGAAATACAGAGATGAGAGACTTAAGCAAAACATTTTGATTGGGTTTTGTTTTGGATTGATCTTGGTGTGGGACACACTGGCATTTTAGAAACGTCACGTGTCTGATAGTAATTCTGCCTGCCTGCTTTTTCACACTGCACCAGCCTAAAATGTCAGCTTTCCTGAAATGCCCTCATCCCCATATTATCTCTACCTGAGCATTTAGGATTCCCAAAGCATTTTCTTTTTCTGATTAAACCCTTTTCCTCTCTTAAGTCTGCACTGCAGCAGGAGTCCTCACTGGGCTGTCAGCAGTGCTCCCTGCACAGCATTTGTCTGGAGCTGGGAAGACAGTTGCAAGGCTTCACAGAACATCGAACATCTCAGTATCTCCATCTGCATTGATGACATGTTTAACTAACTGATTTTCCAGATCTTTCCTATTTTTAAAATCTTTTAAAATCATGAAGTTGTGAGCTAAGGTAACAGAAAATAGAAATGGCTCTAAGCCAAAAAGATTACTTTAAAGTTCTCTCCTGGGTAGCAGCATCTAGTTTTCACTTCTAAATTTAGGTTTTGGCAGTTAAAGATTCTCATCCCATTGTGTTCCATAAATTACTATGCTGGAATGATCTTTGCAGTCTAGAGACTGATTCAGATATGCTGTTCTCTTCCAATGTCTCATTGATGTTTTCAGTTCATTAAGTATATACCTGAAACAAAAATACCCTAGGTTTTAGAAATTCACAGTTTTGTTTCTGAAAATGACTGAGGCAAGTAATCCAGTCATCTCCTTACTTCTGTGGGAGCTTGAATAACAGCTGAAGGATTTGGCTTTTAATTTATTTAAATAGGCAACATAAGTTAATTTACAGAGAAGCAGTGCTTCATAGCCATAGGGGTTATTAGTGGTAAAATGAAAATAATAGCCTGGTTGGTGAAAATAAAATATCTTTAAAAAATAAAATGAGGAGACGCGGTTATTAGTTGGCATGTGTGCTGAAAAGCTTGCAGTTCTGAGTTCAGCCTGGGCTATAAACGTTCTGTGGCTGCTCATCTAAAATAAAGGACAGCATCATACCTTATTCTGATCTTCTGGGAACTGGTTACTCATGCTTTATATCCATAGAAGTGTTACCGTGTGATTTTGCTTATATGTTACAGTCTCATGGCTTCCGAGATGTGCAGCCTCCAGCTGTCACTCAAAATGCAGAAGATTCCGAAATGAACCCTCGCAAACGGCCACGGAGAGAAGAGGAAAAGTAACAGCAATTCCAAAGTTGAAAGTTAAAAACATGTGTGCTACCTGAGAACTGTTGCATAGGGAAGGTGCAACCAAAGGTAGCCTAAGAGACTCTAACTTAAATTCCTGCTCTGGACATTATTTTAAGATTAAGAGTGCGATATGAAAATTTGTTGCAGGAAGTTCCTTTGTGTATGGCGTAATTTTACTTTTATAATAAAAATCTATGTTTTCTATAACAAGAGGCTTTAGGTTTTTTTGGAGGGGATGGAGAATACAACTACTCCTTTTACTCTGGGTAAAAAAAACCCCACAAATGTGAGCATCTAGTACATTTAATGACAAAGGTCTTGTTCAGTCATCTGCTTTTGTGTGTACCTGAATTTTAACAAGGTTTCATGCAGCAATCTGCTCACACCAGGGCAGAAGGCAGTGGAGCTGCTGCTGGATGCTTTAAGATAAATACATGCTTAAATGCTGTACCAGATTGGGGCATTAGCCCTTACCTGCTGCAAAGTCCTTGATCAAGGACAATCAAAGCACTGTTTTGAACTTCTCATTTATCTTGTAGTGATGACAACAGAGATGAAAGACTAGATCTGAAGGACAAAAGATTTAATCCAGCATGGTAATTTTATGTTCCTACCTTAGTAAGTAAGAATATTTTGCCACCACTCAAGCTTGAACCAAACTGCTGCATCGTCCTTAGCTTCCATGTTCTTTTACCAAAGCATTCAGAATGAGATTCTGCAATCAGGATCTGTTTTGTTTGTGGCTTTAATAAAGAGGAAACTCAGTCTTTCTTAGGCACTGGCAATATATTAGCAGCTCCAGAATCTAAACCAAATGAAAGAATGAATGTACATTGAAAATACAGCAGGGTTTTGTCCTCTTTTTATTAAGAGAAAAACAAATCAGTAAGATTATTAGAGGAGAAGAAAGGTACTGCGGTGCAAAATAGTAATTACTTCAATTATGAGAAGTGTTTGTACACATGCAGACGTATGACCCCTTTCTGGCTTAGTGCTTGATAATGTTATAGCTGAGGAAACTCAGCCAGCAGGCTAAACAGAGGATTCAAGTTGTGGGAGTCACTATCTTTAATTTTTAATTTAGTAACACTAAACTGACTTTGCCTTGAAACAAAATTCAGTGCTGAATCTGAGTCACAAAACCTCTCTATTCAAAAAGCTGCAAAAAAAAAAAGAAAAAAAAGTGGCAGTGGTTTTTGGCTCATTATAGTGTTTAGATACATATTACATAATAAAATATTAAAAGGAAAAGTATTCCATTGCCATGCAGCAAACTGGGCTGTGACAAAATTTAAAAACTATGAGTCAGGGAGAAGCTCTGAAGCAAGCATGACATAGAGGAAGAAAAGCAGTGGGATTTGTGACTCAGACAAACATTTCAATGCAGGAGACATAGGCAAACAAAAGGATCCTACCGCCTGTGATGTCAGCAAGCCAATGCTCCATTTGGGAATAATAGCTTCCTACGTATTGCAGTGCTGGAGGAGGGGGGAGCTTGCACAGTACACATGCCTGCGTAGCCACAAGGAAAACCAGCCATTAAGAATGTTGTAGCAATATTTTAAGAAGCGCTGCTGGTTGCTAGTGATAGCTGCTATCATCTAACGTGGTTGATATTTATGGAAAAATCCATTTCTCTCCATTCATTGTGCTCTGATTTAATACCCTCAACACGTTCTTCCATGTGCAAGGAGAGTGAGGACATGTCTCCAATATGCTATTCATTTCAGCTGGCTGGGGTTTTTTTATTTTGTTTATAGTAGAGTAGCATCCAGAAGCCCCAGCTGAGATGCTGATCCTGTTATACCAAGATAAATTGTTTTGTCTGAGTAAACGTTAGATTTTCCAGTATTCCAGGCGTCATCAAAATAAAAAAAATTGAGTAGTTACTGGTTGACACTGGGAGTTACAAAACATCCAAAGGAAACATTGGAGGCTCTCTATGCTGAGATTTTTTTATTCTTATTTTTTTTTCATATTGAAGCTATCATAAAAATCAGCTCTGTAGACCAGAACTAGAGAGAAGGATCTGTTGGCAGAGACAAAATTAGATTAAATGAGCCAGATTTTGTTCTCATCTGCTGGAGACAAGGAAGCTGTTCTAGGCTTAGAATTGCATATAAAGAAAGAATTTGACCATTGCCTCACCAATAAATCTTCCCTGGCAAGCTGAGATTTTGTTCCATGTGCCTGGAATTCTTTTGCATTTCACAGCATCAGTGCACAACAGTGAGTGGCACGAGAGAATTTTGTGACTGCACAAAAAGTAAGATTCTAACTAGGCAACGACATGGCACTGGAGCAAAAATAAAATAGGTTGTTTGATTTGCTGCTGAAGTCCCAGTTTTCTGAAAGCCAAGAGCTTTAACTGTCACGCTGAGTTTAGAATTATTCTATTTTGTAGGGACGACATTTACTTGTGGTGTAGGAACTTAGTCACCACAACAAGAATACAGTATCTACCACAGGGCTTGGCAACAGGAAAACATTGTGGTCACAGTACACTTCTTCTCCAGCCCAGAGTCCTGCTTTGAAACTTTTTAGTTTGGACAGAGAAAATAACAATTTATTCCTTCCTCATTTTATGTGTTCTGCACCTTTTCCATTATGAAACACTGAGAAACCAATTAGCTTCCAACTAGAATGGATTAAGAAAACACAGAGAAGAAATAGCTTAACTGAAGGTAAGAAGGTGTAGCTGAGGTTCAAGTTGTGCAATCAAACAATCTCGTACTGGAGTCTTACAAACTGGTTGAATAATGTGGAAGGAGACTCAGCTGCTAACCCGAATGTTGAACACAGTGCTGAGAAAGGAACTTTTAAAATATAACATTTATTTTTCTATTGAATTTCAGTAACTGTTCCTTTAGTTATTGTAGGGGGACTAAACTTAGAATGAGATTTATTCTAAGGCATTTAATGGATTAATGACAAAGGTGAAATCCTTACTGCCTGCCTTTTTAACTGCACCCTTTTTCTGAACACAAGGAGATGTGTAAGTTGGAAGGACAGGTCATTGTATTCCAGCTTCTCAGAAGGGACTGTCTTTACCACTCTTGGCATTGTGATTATTTAGAAAGGCACATGTTTAAGAGTTTAATATGTGCTAATTCCATATAAAATATATTTAAGTTATATAGTATGGTTTGATGCTTTCTTGTCCTAAGACAGAATACCTTGAGGGAAATTGAATAAATGGAGCGCTTGCAATGCAGTAACACAAATATTACAACAGAATACATAAGTGAAATAGAAATTCTTCTTACAGGATGAGAACCGGGGAAGGTAACCAGTGATTCCCAACCAGTCCAAGCACAACAGCCCTGCTAAGAGCAGGCACAGGGGAGCCCAGCTGTAGGGGAACGTCAGCCACCGGCTGCCGGAGCTGGCAGTGTCTCAGGGCCGCCGAGCAGCCTGCCCAGCCCTCCTCCGCACCAGTCTTCTTGACTGGAGGAACCAGTGCCAGGTACTGCCTGCTCCTGGGCTTCCCCTCTCCCTGGCTCCCCAGGCTGCGTACTCAATGTCTTGTGGCTTCTAGCCACAGAGTCATTTTGGATGATTAAGGTCAGGAGAGTTGGCTTCCCTTGGCGAGTGCAAGATTTCTGCATTAATGTTCTATACTGAGGAATGAAATCACCGGGAGCTGGCCTCCTTCCCAGTACTGAATTTCACCCACAAATGCACCCACTGTTAAACTGTAAGCTACTGTCTTGCTTCCTACAAGCAAGAAATATTTGTACAATATGCACTATCTATTTATTAGACAGTCTAAGCTCTACAACTGTATCTATAGAAAGAATAAATAGTATTGAGAGCAATAGTTCAATCACTGTACGAGCAGTAGAAATGTTCGCTTATATGCTGAAAGGATGCACGGAAAAGTATGAATTTACTGAGTAATCCTTCAAGAATTACAGCTAATACTGTTCCTTTTATTACAAGAATTATTTGCTATTGATTTAAATGGAGCCAGGGAACTATCAGGATATTAAAAACAAAAAAAATCACATTTCAGTTTCAAACAATGAGAAGAGGGAATGTTTAAAATATAAAATATCTAGCAATGTGTATAGGAAAGTAAAAAGGAAACTCTACAGATCTCCATAAATAGTTCTAATTGGATCTGGATGTTTTTCTCAAAGCCTCCAAACATGCTGTTTGAATACTTCCTCAATTTGGTATCTCACACTGCATTATTTTGGAGTTTTAAATGTATGACATGTATACTTCTAATACTGTAATTTATTTAGTGTGAACCACTGCAATTTTAGCAACAGTTACAACTACACTTAATGATTCTTTTCATATTATGTATGTTGCTAAAATAAAATGTTTTGGACTAAAGAACAAGTTGTCTCCTCAGCATGGAAATTATGCCTATAAAGTGTAGCATGTTGATATGAGATTGTAACCTGATTTGTAACACCTTTTTTATGATATAAGCTTACTACACATTTGCCTGGCACAGAACACATCACATAAATGTATCTCTAAGTCATTTACTCATTCATTATTTTGTAAAATAAACACAAATTTCTGTGGCTAATTCACAGTATTTGAGACTGTTCATGGCTAATTCATAGAATTTGAGATTGTTCAAAGAAGTTAGCATCAGCTGCACGCACGTGAATCCCACCATTCTATTTTATCTATGCTTTTATAGGACATATATTACAACAAAAATGGCCAGAGCCTGGACACAACAGTGGCTGGTTTCTGGTATTCATGCAAATGGCTGGGGTTATTAAAAACTTGTTTCTTCCTTTTTGTTTTTTGTTTTTTTTGTTTTTTTTTTTAAGAGGCATTTCTAAGTAGGTGACTGTAAAATTCAAGGTTTTGTGACTGAAGCAGGATATCACAAAATCAGGAATCTAATCTGCAGCAAGATGATGAACAAGTCATTTAAAGTAAGTCTGTGGAAGAACAAATATAAGGTTTTAAATCACATTAGGCGCCTGCCTTAAACTTTGCTCTTATTTTTGGATGAACTTCAACCTCCACCCCAAAAAGGGCAGAACACACCATTAAACCCCTAGAACGGAGTATAAATGAGATTTAAGTGGTATACCATTTTGTATCACCTCCTCTGAGCAAAAATGAGCTTCAGGCTTAGGAATTCCAGCAGTGCTATATT